ATCATTTTCATCCAATAACGCTTGCAGATCGGCGTCCTCAATGTTTTGGTCTTCCGGAGCGCTCCTTGTCCTCAGTGTCGAAATCGCCATTTCTAAAGCGTTTAAACCAATCTTCACAAGTAGTTTTCGATTGTGCATGTTCGCCGTAGGCTTTCTCAAGCAAACGGCGTGCTTCAGCTGCATTTTCTTTCAAGTTGAAGCAGAAAAGCAAAGCTTCCCGCAAATGCTGTTTATTTGGCACAAAACTCGACATCTTTATTGTTAGAAAAAATATTTTTGCGTTGCAATATGTGTTGGTATTATGACTGGTTATTGTTGACAGATGTCCAAGTTAATAAAAAAACACAACTTTAGACATGTATATCGACTACATGTATCGTTAGCGCCATTCATGTGTGAAACCCGGAAACTTAGTTGCGCACCTAGTAGTATGTTATCAAATTCATTACTGCAGCTGTGCTCTGTCAAAGAAAAGCGTGCACACAACACAGTTATACACGCTGCGAAATTATCTTTTTTAAAAACTGATCATAAACGTTTTAGCGCGATATAAACTTTTACCCCTTTCGATATGAAAAGAATATATATACCCTTTAAAGACGATTGCCGTGGCCGCACAGGATGTATAATATACAATATCTAAAAAGTCGTAATTGTGAGGCCATATCAAGGCACACGATCGTGTCTCATGCCAAATGACGTGCAGCAAACGAATGCAGGTCCTAATCTTAACCTATCCTAACCTATAAATTTGGTGCACAGGTCGGTAGTGGCTGTTTCGTGTTTTTATGCTGCCGCACGAAAGGGCTAACTTCATTTTTGTAATTGAGCGATATCTCACGACTTACTCACCCCGGATTCATCATTCTGAACTTCTGTCAGTCGTGATTTTCGCTTTCCCACCAAATTTGTTTTTTAACCCCGGCTTTTTCGTACGAAAATATTGACATTTCTATCGACTTCTGATCGTACGACGAGTGGCTTCGATCTGGGTCGGAAGTGACCGACGATGCAAGACCGAAGTTTATCGACGGTGCAGCCAAATATTCTATATAGGTCAGCGGCCTGTTTAAAGCACGTGCTACCACTACACTGGTCAGCTGACCAGCTGATCGTAGTATCGTTAATAGTTACATAATATTACGTAATGCGCGCGGCAACACACGCACACACTTAAAAATGGTGCGCCCGCGCCGGATTTTTAAAATGTTATAACTCGCTGAAAAATTGACGTAGCAACACGCGGCAAAAACGAAACTTCTGTGCTTCGCATTCTGCAAATATCTATGCTCGATGCATATGCTCTTATCATGACATGTATGTGTATATTTAGTAAGAAAAATATAAAGCAACGCACTGTAAAATATGAGAGAGAGAAAAGCTTTGCCTCACAATTATGGAATATTTTTTAATTCGCAAATAATATTCATGCTTCCGAAAGTTGAATGCAGTCTATCAAAGGGAATAATAAATTTGACTTTATTACTGGTTGCAAACCACAGAAGTCTTAAGACAAAGTATCAGTGAATAGCGTATACTTTATTTCATGTTTTATTCAGATCTATTTTGATAGAGAATGTAGAAAAGACTTATTTATTCGTAAGTAATATTCGTGCAGCATTATGTAAAATTTTTCTCTTATTTCTCTTCTACCCGCGCTGAGGAAAGTTATAGCCCGTCCCTAGAAATTCTCCCGCGTCCAGCAATAAATAATAGCGAAAAATTGATAATGTATCTTTAATAAGACCGGAAGGGATCAAAGCACCTTTGCAGAGCATCTGCATACGGTAACGTGAATATTCCGCCGCCGACAAGCGAGCGCAAGCCGGTGCAATCGTGCCAACTATGCAACTCACAGCAGACTCACTGTCGTACAGGTAAGGGTTCCGATCGATTTCCCGCAGTCATTGACCTCTATGGTTACGTTAATGCCGAAGCCGCCGTTGCTGCCGCGGTCTTTTAACGGTTACCACGTGCAATAACTGATTGAATCCGCGAATCTTCTTTTAGCAAGCGCGAAAACGAAACGACAAAGGTCCATTAGCAATGTTAATTCTTCCGTTTATTTGAACGCTTTACTCTCTTTCTTTATGATTTAGCAGTCAAAATGAGCGGACTGCGCTCAAATACGGCAGAATTCTCTCATTCTCTTGAAAAAATATTGAAAGT